GCAATATAAAGTTATCCAAGACAAAATTAAATCATCACGTATTAAGCAAAATTTATATAGAAAATTTTACTAAATTATTTTAAATGTTTTTTAATTATTTTTTTTAACAAACATTGTAAAATATTAAATAATTTTTGCAGTGAAAAAATTAATTTAATAATTCAATAAGCTCATAGATTTTAGAAGTAATCAAATACCAAATCATATTTGATCGAAAAAGGCAAAAAAAGTTTTCAAAAAATTTAGTTTTTTAACCTTTAACCCTTTTAGGCTAAATTAATGAATATAAAAGTTAAAAAAACATCAATTATTGTTAATTTAAGTGCTTAAAAGTGTTTTGAACTAAATTAAAATATACGAATATTTTTTTTAGTTTTGGTAGTTCAGATTAATAATAAATGTGTATGAATGTATTTGCAAAAAATATTTTCTAAAAATGTAAAAATTTTAACAAAATTAATAAAAGTATTTTTAGAAATTCATTTCCTATTATGGGACCAGATATATGTGGATTAATTATTGCTGCAATAATATTTGTAACAATTCTCGTGATTCTCGAATTACGTAGTCGATATATGAATAAGAAAACAAGGGAAGAATCCACGCTTATTACCACCAAATCATTAGATGATAAACGAAAACAAGACAAATTAGTCACATCTAAGTTCACTCAATCAGAAGGTGCATCTCAGACGTGATTGCTTACAGCAAAAATACGTCATAAAAATTAGAATCGGCTCACATAGAATATCAGCAACAAACGTTGAAATTTGCTGTCAGAATAAAGGTCAAGTAAATATGACATCATAAAAGCCATTTGTAATGTTTTATACTATAAAAAAATCTTATGGTAATGAAAGCTGTATAGAGTATATGTGTGTTGAGCTATGTTTAGTGAATTTCAGTGCTTATATCATGCATATACCAGCAGAAATCATTCATATACTGTACTTGTACAGTAACACTGTGATTTTTAGTTATACTTCATTTAAAAAATTAATTCTCTAAATAAAAGTGGCCTACGTGGAAAAAAGTGAGAGTTCTTAATTTAATAATAAAAAAATTTAATGATAAATGATTTTTGTAAAAATTTTTTCATACAATTTGTTGCCATTTTGGGTTTATTTCTTAGTATTCTATCATAAGTAACTATAATCTCATTACGGTACTGTACCATAGTTATGACAATAATTGAAATTTTCTCATAAAATTCAAATAAAATTTTATGATTCTTGTAATTATTTATCAGTATAATAATCGTTTAAGTATGATCATAAATTATTGTTGCATATTTATGATATTTTATTTTTCATAGTTTGTATCAATTTTTATTCATGGCTGAAATTATTATTAAATTAGCTGATTACTTCTTACGCACAATGAAAGATATTCACGTGAGTCAGAATTTGCCATACGTCAAATTAGAAAAATAATTAATCCTCTTTTTTTGATTTTGACTATTTTTAAAGTATTTTGTTTTGCAAAAGTCAAGAAACAAAGATATAAAATCTTTATCAATGAAATGGATATAGTAAAATGAATTTCTACAAATCTGAAATAATAAAAAAAGTTTATACGAACTAAAAATGATTTAGAATATTAATTTGTATATTGAAAAATTTCTATTTCTGGTTGGTTTTATTGGCTCAGAGGTAGAGGTATCTGTTTAGGAAACAGAAGGTTTGCTTAAGTGATTCCAACGTGAGGCACTTTGGTAATCCAAGCATAATACTGTGGACACTTTTATCCTTGCTCTAAATTCTACCTCTTTAATAAAGTTATTAATTACTAGAATTTTATTATTTTGTAGTCAAATATGGAAAACATCACAGTAATTAGACAAATAAATTTATTGATTGACATTATATTAATATAAGATTAATCCCCTAAAAAGTATACGTATTGTTTTAAATTAAAAATTATGCAAAACAAATAACAGCAAATATTACGCAAAACGTTCAAATAATATTTCATTGGTAAATTTGTATGATAAAAATGTGTGTGATTTTATTAAAATGATCAATTTATAAGCTTCAAAAGCTTATTCTTAATTATTTATTATGCATATTTATGGTTTGTATTTGTGAACAACTAGCTATCAATATGAACATAATTTTAATACAATCCACATCCTTGCAAATTAGCCTGAATAATCATATCGATAACGCTATCTAAGATTATCTGCACCTGATTTGTATCAGTTGCGCATGTTTGATGAATATATATTGTTTTTTCAGGATTTGTATTTAATGCTTCAAATTGTTCTTCAATGTACCTTACTGAATCATCATATGTTTGTGGGCCTAAACAACTAAATAAAATTAATGACTTTATTAAATTTTTATTTGTTTTTTAAATAAAATAAAAAGTATACAATTATCAATATTTGCTTGCTAAATACAAAAATTTATTTCAAAAAATGTTTTTTTGAATGCCATAATTTAACTTGCCCCTTCCAGTTTTTAAAATGTTTAATAATTAAAAGTATTTATTACCTGAAAAATATTTGAAATAATTAATTATTTTTCTACTAGTATTTTATTATTATTAATTAAGATGAATAATTAAGCAGTGTAATCAGTTATTTATATATATTGTAAAATATTAAGTAATTTTTTGTAGTAAAAAATTAATTTTATAATTTTTTATATATTGTTTGCTAAATATAAAAATTTTAAATAAAAAATTTTTTTTAATTTGTCTTTGATTAAAATGAAAAATTTTTATTTATTTTTGACTTAATTAAATTTTTATTTGTTTTTTATTAAAATTAAAAATATGAAATTATGAATATTCGACACATTAAGAAACTCAAAAATAATTCAAAATTAATTTTTAAATATCTGATAATTAAAAATATGAAATGCTGTAAAAAATAAAAATAAAATGCTTTGTCATTGAATGAAAATTTATGCACAGTGTCAATAATTTTAAGACTTAATTATTTGAATTTGAGCAATTGTAAACTAAATTACTTAAATATAAATACTAGAATATTAAATATAATTCGGTGGAAATAAAAAATAAATTTAATAAATCTCTGAATATTCAAACGTACCATTATATTCTGGAAAGGCTGTCTTAATTGAAACTCGTTTAATCTTCTCGGCAAATAAATCTTTTTTATTAAGAAATAAAATTATTGATGTATTAATAAACCAACGACTATTGCATATTGATTCAAATAACCTCATACTTTCTACCATACGATTCTATAAATAAAAAATAATTATTAAAAGTAATATTGTAAAATTAATTTGAATTATTATACAAAAAAGGAATAATATTATTTTTGAGTTAAAAATGATCAATTCAGTTCAATTCATTCATTCCTTAAAGATTTTGTACTCTGTAAAATTACTTTTGTATTATTGTATTTTTACAAATACAAATAAATACTATTTTCTGAAATTAAAATTAATGTTATCGATTGAATTTTGATCAAAAAATTTAATAGGTTTAAAATTTAATAATTAAATAAACATTCTTTATTATTATCACAGTTTTTGAACTACAGTATTCAGAGTAAACGATGCACCCGAAGACTAAAATCCTCTCTGGAAAATATATTTGCTATTGTTTCTTTTTTAATTTATTCTAAGAAAATTATTTAAATCATTCAAATAAGCAATGTTTAATTTCCATGAAGCTGCTATTGAAGGATCCGCTTAATTAAATTTATAATCTTTGCTTCTAATATTTAATCATTTTATCAATTAGACAACACTATTATTATTAACTTGTAAATTGAATATGCAAATTTGTGGTTCATGTCTCATTTCTGTGAATAAATTAAAATATTTAGTTGATTAACTTTTTCTTTTAGAATTTATGCTAATTTTTCTTTTTGCGATCAAACTGCTATTTTCAAAGCTTTCTTAAGGCTCAGGTCACTAAATATCTCTTAAGGCTCAGGTCATCAAATATCTCTTGAGGCTCAGGTCATCAAATATCTCTTGAGGCTCAGGTCACCAAATATCTCTTGAGGCTCAGGTCATCAAATATCCCTTAAGACTCAGGTCATCAAATATCTCTTAAAATTTTTGTTTCTTTTTTTGAAAATAATTTTGTCAAAAAAAATCTTTAAAATTACCGAGAAATAAAGCTATATATATTTAAATGAATAACTAAATAAAGATTATCCAAAACTTTCCTCAGTTTTCTTCCTTTCAAAGTCAGAAAGCAAAATATTTCAAAACAAAATTATGCTTATTTTATTTTGAGCTTTTCATTGTAATTAAATTTATTTTGTCGTTTATTTGATTAAAAAGTAGAAAATATCCTTCAATTACCGTAGTTTCATCTTCAAAAAGTACTTGATCGTACTGACTGATTGCTGCGATAAATATTATAGCATTTACATCTTCGAAGCAATGAATCCACTTTTTACGTTCAGAGCGCTGTCCACCAACGTCAAATACTCTTAAAAAATTTACTTAATTAATTAGTTTACTTTACTAAATATTGTATTTATTTATTTAACCTTTATTTTATGCTAAACTTTAATTTTACTAAGTAATTAAACCATTTTAATTTTAATTCCCACTTTTATCTAAATATTTAAAGCTTTTAATATGCCAGTGCGATTGTCAACGTATGCTGTTTACATATACAATAATATAAACTATTGAATGATTTGTTTGGGAATATAGTTATTCAATAAAAGTGATAATAATCAAAAAATTAAATTTACATAAATTAAAAAAGTACAAGTAAAGCATTAAAAAATTTACCTAAAATCAACATTTTTCATTTTAAACTTCACTTCCACAATTCCCGTAGTTTTAATTCGACTGAGCAAGA